AATTAAAAAAAATTGAAAAAATATTTTTTTTCAAGGCCGTTTCAAGGCCATAGTTCGGAGTATTGGCGGCGTCGGATAAGTTTTTTCTCAGCACGACGACTGTGTTCGGCTTGAGGGGAGAGTGTATCGATTAGAATATAATGATCATGAATTGGGCGATTTAGGGCTTCGAATATCGCAATCGAAGATGAACACGAACGATGTCGATTTATAGGTTCGTAAATTCTTCACCGATGATCTGGATATTAAAGATTGTTGATTGGTAGCCGACGTTGATTTTTGAGGGACGTAGAGGTGGAACGATTGAGGGAGGACGGAGATAAGGGGAAGAGATACGGTGGAGACGTGGGAGAGACAAGAGAGAGAGAGAGAGAGAGAGAGATCAATCTGATAAGGAATGGTGATTGTGTACGAGTCAATATCTATAACCCTAAAATGCCCTTAATTCCATTTAATTTTGATGACTCCGTCCCTTTATTTTTTCCACTTGTTTACAAAAATGACACAATGCATCTTGACCATCCATTTTTTGATCTAACGCTCCACTTTTGGTTATCGGGTTATCGGAAAACTATGAGTTCTCAAATGATCCTTCATCTATATATATATATATATATATATATATATATATATATATATATATATATATATAGAGAGAGAGAGAGAGAGTTAGGTTCAAATGTTTCTAGCAAATATTGTGTTCCTAAATGCACCAATCACAATTTAGCAAATAATTAAACAATTTATTAAATGAATAAGGGTATTTTTGGGTTTTTGACACATTCAATTAATGGGATCATTTAATTAAATCCCTTCAATTAAGGAAACAGAATAATTATGTTTGACCTAATCTCTCTCTTTTATCTCACGTATTCTTCACCTACAAAAGAACGGCTTCACAGTTTAACCATCATCTCCACACCGGTCGATTTTGCTTTACAAACCTCGAATTCCCGTGATCGTCCCTTGGATTGTTGATTAAGGTATGAGAAGTACAAATGCCAAATTTTGTTTTCAAACTCTTCAAAGCCGGTATGAGAAGTAATTTGATGGTATAAATTTCGTTTGGCCTCGATTTCCCGTCGCCCTAATCCATAGTAGCTTTTAATTGTGAATTCCGATTCTTTTCCCTCTGTTATTTCCGCTTACGCTGGTTGCTTTCGTGATCATTGAAGCCTCGATAGCCTCTATTTCCCATTTGTGTATCCCATCCTATATACTAAGGAAAAGGTAGCAGGACCGCCATGACCGATCGAACCCTACTAGAAACGATGGTATAATTTATCTCTGATCTCTATTTTTTTCGTTTATAAATCTGAATTTTTTCATTAAATATTCTGATTAGTTTTTTTTATCTTTTTCTGTACGAATCGTTCATATTTGTTTGTTTTCATTGATCTGTCAAGTAATTGAAACTCACTCCTCCACAGATTCAGATTAGATTAAAAACTAGGATCTTCAAGGTGCCTTCTATGACTTTGACTTACTCGTTATTCTGATGTATTGATTCAGTGCTGGAAGCCAATCTAGTTGGTGGTCTTGCTTATTATGTTACTGCACCTTCTCAGGGTAATGACTGACTCCATTCCATATTTCCATTCCATTCACATTCCTTGATTTGTGATGATTTATTGTTTGTTTGCATGTGAATATCATCATCAGCTTGGCTGATATGGCAACAAATTCCTTCCATGCTTTTTTTTTTAATATTTTAGTTAATTGAGTAATACTTAAAGGTTTGCAAACTTTAGCTTTAAATGGTTTCAAACTTTATAATTTTTTATTTTCACTTACAGTGATATAACTTGTTTGCTTTACCAAATTAATGTTAACCTGAAAATTCTTTCAGAATGAGGGCAATATTCTTTTAGAATAAAGAGGGCTTTAGTTTGAAGAAGGCTACTATTCTTTCAGAATGAAGAAGGGAAATATTCTTCACATGTAATCCTGCAAATTGATCAGACCTAGACAACCAAAAAAGGCAGGAAAGCTTTAATTTTATTCTTTTATAATGATTGTTCTCTAAGAATGAACTGGAATTTTATTCTTTAATTTTTTTTTTCATATCAGAATGCAAACACAAATGTATCACTACAAATTACTTGACAATGAATTTCTGATAGAAATGGCTTGAAGACCTGATGGGAAAGACTTGAAGAATGAATTAAAGAATGATCACACTCATTGTTTAAGAATGTTGTTATTTTTTAAGAATTATACTTGTTATTCTTTCAGAATGTTTGTTATTATTCAATGAATCACAATCATACAATGTAATTATTTGGTATATTATTATTTCAAGAATCGATTTTGTGTATTCTTTCAGAATGTATTTACTAGTTGACACAATACAAACGAAAAATATATTTAATAGTTTATGGTTAAAATTCTATCATTCTGACAGAATAAAATCGGATTTTTAATTTTAAATTAATTTAAAATATTCATATTTTTAAAAATAAAGGAATTAATTATCCCTAAAAATCCGAAAATTTCATTTTTTAATATAGGTTAATTGACTAAAATGCCCTTATGATCAAATTTGTGTGATTATATGGTACATGTTATCCTATTCTACTATCATAGACCCTCAGATCATGACCTCTGATTATATACCATCCAATGGTCCAGATCCGTGCATTCTGGCACACAATAGTTACTAGAAACAAAATAACCTAACGCTATATATATATATATATATATATATATATATATATATATATATATATATATATATATATATATCTATATATATATATATATATATATATATATATATAGCGTTAGGTTATTTTGTTTCTAGTAACTATTGTGTGCCAGAATGCACGGATCTGGACCATTGGATGGTATATAATCAGAGGTCATGATCTGAGGGTCTATGATAGTAGAATAGGATAACATGTACTATATAATCACACAAATTCCAGCATAAGGGCATTTTAGTCAATTAACATATATTAAAAAAGGAAATTTTCGGATTTTTAAGAATAATTAATTCCATTATTTTTAAAAATCTAAATATTTTAAATTAATTCAAATTTAAAAATCCGATTTTATTCTGTCAGAATATCAAACATTAAGTAGTAAAGATATTTTCGATTTTATTCTTGCGAAATATATTTCCAATGCATATATTTTTGATAATTAACCTGATTTAATAATTCAACATATATTCTTCATATACATTCGAACGTGAATACAAAATCATACATATTCTTACAAACTAATAGTCTTATACAATTTAATATAGTTATACATATTCTAACAAAATATCATCAAAAATGAATAAAAATATTAAGAAATAGCATTCTTAAATATACAATTATTAAGCAAATACACATGATCTTCATCAATGGTCCAAATAATGCACTTGATTCAAACTATGATGAAAATGTGATATATTATCGTAAGAATGTAATTCTTCGCAAAATATACTTGTTGTTGAACTCGATTCCAAATCTTTCTCTTGTATGATCAATATTGAATTCCTTCTTCAAGTCATTCTGAAAGAATAAGATGCATTATTCGTTAGTATTACCAGTGAAGCTAATCTACTTGTTGTTAACAAACATTCTCAAAGACATTCTAACAGAATGCATTTATACAAATAAATTCTGACAGAATACAAAAACATTACTTATTTAATAGAAACTATATAATAGAGAATGATAACATATTCTAACAGAATGTATTTCATTTTTCCTATCTTGCAATGTTTTTTACCTTTTCTATCTTGACAAATAAGGAGATTGAAATCGAATTCTGTCAGAATAATAGCCCAATAATTGCACCTTTTATTGTATCTAGTGACACTAATTAGGTGGAAAATTTTGCTAAAATCAGCTCTATTATCAGAAAATTGCTTACCTATAAAAGTTTATATTCAATAAGTTATAACAAATGATTTTACAGCAACCATAAACAAATCTATTAATTTTAATGCAAACTTGATGAATGCCTTTGTATAGACATATCTTCTTTGTTCCTATATTATTTGACATATTGCTTTATTGCTTTTAGAATAACTATGATTTCAAAATAATCCTCCATTAACTATTTCTGATGATATTAAGAGGAATTAATCTACTGAAAGGAATAACATAACATTTCCACTGATTTAGAAATGATCGTGTGTCTCTACGGATTTAGATTGGGGAATAATTTCTTGGATATGAGGTTGATTATCAATAAGAGAAATCAAGATCAAGCTGCAGATAAAAAGAAAAACAAACTGAAGTAAAACCTGATGAACGACTCCCCCTCGAGGGGTTTATTTCCTGGAGAGGTAATAGAAGAATGGTTGTCATGATCTTCGTAATGTTTGGAAGCGAAGAGAACTTCACTGCCGCCATGAAAGAGGAAAACGTTCAACTGAGGAGTGAAGAGCTCGTTGCGATACTCATGAATCGATGCTCCGATTGGTACGATTGAGTAATCGCATAAGTACAATAAACCCAAAATAAACCCTAGCACTACTTCGCCATTGTAGAATCGAAAGCCCTCTTTGAGGTGATTGCTGATTGATTCCAGCAGGGAGAGTCGAGAGGAGCGGTGATAAGTTCTGGACTTTGATTCAGACTCTTGGAGAGCACAGGGGGGTACAACCCACATCTTAAATATCTAGGGTTGGGTTGTGAAGAAGCGGAGCAGAAGATGAAGGCAGGTCGTTCTTCCTCCTTTTATTTTGGTGATTTTAAAATCAAATCCCCCATTTATCGCAATTACCATAAATTTAGAGTCATGATTTACTAATTTACCCTTATTAATTTATTTAATGATTAAATTATTCCTAAATTCCTATTAGTGCATTCATGCACACAATAGTTGCTAAAAACATTTGAACCTAACTCTCTCTCTCTCTCTCTATATATATATATATATATATATATATATATATATATATATATATATATATATATATATATATATATATATATATATATATATATATATCAAAATACTTTTTAAGTTGAAGCAAAATCCCAAACCCCCTTGGATACTCTATTGGTGTCTGTTGATGGAAACGGCTCGGTAACGGTGATATAACGCGATCCTACGCTAACTACAATACGTACTAAAACACTCGAATAAAACCCAAGTCGTACTGTGTTTTTGATTACTGGCCTAGGTTTTTCAAGAGCGATTGACGGAGAGAGTGGCCGCGACTGAATCGGAAGACACGTAGTACGAATTTCGGAAGATAAAGTATAATCGGGAGTTCACAACCGCAGAAATGACAGGTATTCGATTATAGATGAATCTTTGTGAAACTCTATACGATTTATGTTGAAGATTTGATGCTTTGTGTTGGAAAGCAGTATAAGTTCTATCGAGAGTTTAATTAGGTTAGTAATTGCTTATACGTATCGGTGTATCTTTAGAATATGATTGTAATCCAAACGAGGTAGAGTTGATTTGGGGATATTTTTGCTATCTTACAGCTTAATACGTTATTACTTGGAATGTGGGAACTTTATTTTGTGCATGGCGTGCTCATAGTTGAAATGGGTAGTCCGATTAGATCTAAGAGGAGCCTGTAGAGTAGATTAAGTGTGATGGAATCATGATATTAAGGAATTCAAGTCATTTGGAATGTGGGATAATCATATTTAAGCAGCCTTACTGCATAATTGAACTGTGTAAAAGGCCCATGTTTGTCAGCATGAATTTTGGATTAACAAGGAAAGGATATGAGATCCCTGTTCACTGAAATGTTCACAACAGACCATGTGCAGGAGCAGGAGATGGAAATTGAAGCTTTAGAAGCAATTCTTATGGATGAGTTTCAAGGTTTGCACTATAAATAATATTTAACATGCATTTTGGTCCTTCTAGATTTCTGATATCTAACTTCCAAATTCAAACTCATGACAAGCATTTTGTTTTAATGTATTTGCCAGAAATCCACCCGAGTGAAAGTGGATTGAACACTTCAAAACGATGTTTCCAAATTACTTTGTCTCCACAGGTACCCAATTTCATTACATTATCTAGTTAGTTTTCTTCTTTTTCATGATGAGATCTCATAGTAAGCTACTGGCTGATTAATGGCACCCAAGGGATATTAGAAGTACCATTAGTTCACAAATAATGAACACATTATATGGAATCAAATAAAAGGCATGAATTTACACAGAAAACCTTGTACTGGCACTGAGTATGTTGCTTTTATATTTTGCAGGACGATGAGAATGATGAATCTTTTAGCACTCCAGGTTTTTATCTGTCATTTTGTTGTTAAAGATTACAGCTTGAGGAGGCTTAAATTTCTTAATAATGTTGGTTTTTGCTAAATTTTGTTGCAGTTCAGTTGGGGTTAATTTTCTCACATACAGAAAAATATCCAGATGAAATACCACTGCTAAATGTGAAAAGGTGATTTACTATAGCATTACAAAACATGCAATAGTTTCATTTGGGTATTATATTGATCAACATGGATGGTTGTTTTATTGATGTAATTTGCATGCTCATATTTTATGATGAACTCTGAAGTTCACATTTTATGTTGTAATTAATTAATCCTCCCTTCTTATGGTTTTCATCAGTATAAGAGGAATTCACACCTCGGATCTCAAAGTATTGAAAGAAAAGCTTGAACAAGAGGTAAAAGAGATCATGTTTCATTTAATTGTTTTGTCTTATGGTTTTCATCAGTATATTTCAATGTTCCAACTTCCATTAAAACTCAGTTGACCCTAAACCCTAAAGAAAGCTTTGTTATTGTGGAGATACTTGCAGGCATCAGAGAATCTTGGAATGTCTATGATCTACACTTTAGTTAGCTCAGCTAAGGATTGGCTTTCTGAATTATATGCTCAAGATGCTGACAATGATGATGGTGAAGAGGAGGTTGCAGAAAAGGATGAGGTATGTCATGATTTGAGTTTATAATGAAAAGTATATGATTACTTTATTACTAAGAAGGGGTTTGGTTTGATGAATGGATTTGGGGGTTTATAGGTAATTGTGCCTCATGGAGAACCTGTGACCATTGATACATTTGTGGCATGGAGAGAGAGATTTGAAGCAGAATTGGCCCTTCAAAGAGCCAAGTAACTTCTCTAATGCAATTTGCAAACACTTGAAGTTTAAATACATTCTATTTTATGATCTAAAAAATAAGTTTGTTTTTTCTATTTCCAGGCTGATGCCAGAATCAGCACTTTCAGCACCCAAAGAAAAGAGACTCTCAGGCAGACAGTGGTTTGAAAGTGGAAGAGCTTCTTCTGTGGTAAGGTTTTTAGTGCTGATTTATCTGAAAAGGAAAATGGGTTAAATGGCATAAACCATTTTATTAAAGGAATTAGGTTATTATTCTTGGCAGAAAGGTGCAGTACCAATGGAAGATGGATCTGAAGAAGAAGATGAAGATTTTGATTTTGATGATGAGGATGACTTTGAAGGTATTTTTTTTTTTCTTTTTGACTTGTATTTACATTTGATGACATCTAATGGAATAATAATACCATCATTATTGGTTGCAGATGATGAAGATGACATGCTTGAGCACTATCTAGCTGAGAAATCAGACTCCTCAGTGAGAGCTACATAGAGGCATCAGACATGTAATATTTTTCAAGTTGAAAAAGAGGAAAACTTAAACAACGTTTTACACATACAATCGTTTTTACACTCTGCAAGATTGTGATTGTAAGATCGGTTTCAGATTTTGAAGATCCTACTAAAATGAACTAGTCTCTAAATTTGCGTGCAAGGTGTTGTTTGTGCGGTGTCCATTATAACTTTATGTTGATTAAGACATCAGAATCAACTTTAACTTTAAGTTCTTAAGCAGTAACATAATTCCAGTAGATGCAAACCGCAATAATTAGAAAGGAAACAACTTAACCCCAAAAAAATATTTTATTGTGATCATGTACAACTATAGACAAAAGATTACAAATGGACTAACATGCGTGCCCCGGTGCTCTATCTAATGCAAGATGAATGGATCAAGTTGTCCTGCTTTGTGAGCCTTACTGTGGTGGGCAATGCTCAGCACAAATTTGATTTGAATGAATAATTTTCTTAGACTTTGCATGGGGTTGTCTTTTGTGAGCATAAATGACAAATTTTATAGTGTTTAAATATACTTAAAACTTAATGATCAAAAATAAAGGTTAATGAGGTGCGATAAGGTCGGGTATAAACTCCTACGATCCCAGTTGAGATCTTAAAATTTCAATATAAATTTTGCTTTAGAATCGGTTGTAGTATGATTGTGATTTTTTTTGTTTGTTTTTTTTTTAAACGCACAAACTAATTAACCTATTTCTAACCACTTATGTTTCCATTGAAACTTGAACCCATAATCTTTGAAATAATGACTCATTACTGCCGGACCATTTATAAGATATCAACATCAAAATCTGGATTTTATCGACCATGATTATAACCTTAATATATTTAAAGTTTAGATGACGACTTTTTGACACCTAAAAATTAACTCGGCATTTATTTTCCCTATTAAAAAAATTCTCACATTTAGGCAAAGGTTTAAAAAAGAAATTTATCTCAATTATTTTTCATCTCGCCAATAAACTCGAGATCAAGGCTTTCTAAAACGTCTCTTCAAATTTCTTAGAGCATCTCCAATTTTGTAAAGGTTAACGATATCATATTTTGCTATTAAAATGTTTTCTTTACTAAATGTTTATTTTTTGAATTTGTATTTTGTATAATTCAAATTCACCATTCAGTTATAGTTTGTTACTTTCCTAATTATATTTAAGCTTTATGTTTTTATTATTTATTGAACAAATTTATTTATTAAATATTATATAAATATTTTTTTTTAATCTTTAATATTAGATATTAAATTCATAAATAGTTTTATCATTTTTACTCTTATAAATATATACATAATAACTTTATCATTTTTATATATTTAAAAAAAAAATTCCTTTTGTTTTTTTGTTTTGTATAAATATAATATGATATTCATGTAATTGTATGTCTGAAAAACAAGATATCAGGGTAAATCACACCAATCGTCCCTTGTGCTTGTGTCCAAAAGCACGTTTGGTCCCTATTTTCAAAATAAAACTTGGACCGTCCCTCATCTGGTTAAAAGTTGCATGCTTCGTCCCTCGCAGACATAAAATGACTATCTTGCCATTTTCTTCTTCTTTTTCATATCTTTTTCATTTGTTTATAATTTATATACTATTTTTTTGTTAAGTATATTTTTTAGAAAATGGAAATTCCACTTAAATTGGTTCCGAACCTTCCCACCATCAACAACCTCCTACAACCAGTCACTTCCGACACCAGCCACCTCCGGCCACCAGCTAACTCCGACAAACACCACCATTCATCTCCAAAAAAAAAAAAAAAACCTGGAATTAAACACTAAAATAAAACCCAAATCCATACCCTAGATCTACAAATCAGTTAAACGAAGAAGGGAGATGAAAGGATATGGGAACACTGTGGTCGGACACCAACTGTTCAATCCCTTATCCTACCACTGTCATGAAACCTGCAACTCCGGTTGGTTTCTCCCCAAACTTGTTTGAAAAAAAAATCCCAGAATTTGTTTTAGTGAGGAGAGTTGATGTGATCTATTCGGACATCGTTCTTCTTCCACCAGACGTCGTCGTTTCCCTCCCTCTCCTTCCTCTTCGTCTCGAAACTCTAGGAGCTGACGATCTGTTAGATGATGGTGTAGATCTGAGACAATGGTGCAAAGATGTTGGTCCTCTAGCTCTCTCTAAGACAATGGTACGAAGACAACGATGGTTTTCAGGTGCTAGGGTTTCCGACGAAGAGGTGGTGACGATGGCTTACAGGTAGAGATCGGCATTTTCAAGTGGCGATGACGATGTTGTAAGTGGCTTCAGACGTCAATGGATGCAGAGAGAAGGTTCATTGGAGGTTAGGGACGGTGATTGGAATAGCCACCTGAGGGAGTGGCCGCCGAAGGGAGTAACTGCCGGCGATGGTTTAAGGATGGTGGTTTTGGGTTTCTTGGAAGAGGTTAGAGATGAGAGGAAGAGAGATATCGATAAAGGGGACGATGAGGTGGGTGGGAAGGTAGGACAGGGGCCTTTTTTTTCTTTTTTAAATTAATAATAATAATAATAACATTAAATTTAATGGAAAACAAATACACAAAGGGCATTATAGTCATTTCAGATCTGACAAGGACTAAAACCGCAACACAATAATTTGTTAGGGACGAAGCGTGCAACTTTTAACGACATGAAGGACGATCTGAGTTAATTTTTGAAAATAGGGACCAAACGTGCTTTTGGGCACATGCACGGGGACGATTGGTGTAATTTACCCAAGATTATATTATTTCATGTTTTGTTAAATAAAAATCTTAAAAAATGGTTAATTATTATGGACGTTCTTACAACCAAAGTACATAATCTTATTTGCTCAAGCTTAGAAACCAAACTCAAGCAATTTCTTTTTTAAAATTTAAAATACGTTAATTTATATTGAAGTTTGAAGCTTAAAGTTTAAACCCGAGCACACCCGACCCGAGTCCGAGCGGTCAAACAACCAAAACAACCCAAAAACGGCGCCCCTTCTTCCCTCCACCACCCGCCATTCCTTCACGAAATACTCTTCCGTGGACAATTGGACATTTGCATTTCTTGTTCTCAAAGATTTAACTTGCTTCATCGTTTATCTTAGCCCTTTCCTCCGAGCAAACAAAACAACACATAACTCTTTGTTTTCTCCCATTCAATCGATCCAATCCAACAGTCGAAAAGTCCGTCTAACTATGCCCACAGGTGAATTAACCTTTCGCTTGCTGATTCATAATCAAATCACTGTTTATTCACTCGGATTTTCTTTATTCTTACAAAGAAAATACAACTTACTGCTAGTAAGTTGAGATCATCGGTTACGTTGATTTAATCTCTTGTTTATTATTTTATGTATTTAGGGCTCAACATGGTATATTCATGTAGTTTTTGTCTTTCGTGGATTGAATTTAAGGAGCCAATCTTGATTTTCTTATGCTTTAACTTAAAAAAAAGCGAGTAATTATCAAAGGGTGTTTGGATGGGTGGTTTTAAAGTGATTATTGGGACAATTAGATAATCAATTGCTCGTTTGCGATTACGTTGTTTACACTTTACCCTGCTCTTTATCTTATTTACAGTCAGTGTAAAATGGCAAAAAGAGCTATACCGGGATGTGGAGATAGATACAACTCAGCCTCCATACGTCTTCAAATGTCAATTATACGACCTCACAGGAGTTCCACCTGAAAGGCAAAAGATAGTGATGAAAGGTGGATTATTAAAGGTAATCACATTCTTCTATGGCTATTGTTTCTTGACACGATTCAACTAATTTCTCTATTACTTGTTTTCATGATTAGGATGACTCCGACTGGTCAAAAATGGGGGTGAAAGAGGTAAATAAAACGTTTCTACAGCATTCTATTCTTTCCACGAATTGATCTTCGTGGTAATTGGTAACCAATAACCATTGGCATTGCTTTATTACATGATATAGGGGCAAAGGTTGATGATGATGGGAACAACAGATGAGATTGTGAACGCCCCTGAAAAGAGTCCAGTTTTTATGGAAGACCTTCCAGAAGAAGAACAAGTAGTTGCTGTGGTAGGGTTCTTGACTTATTTTCAAATTCTCTTAAAGGTACAGATTGAATTTTATTGCCAAATCGTCATAATGTTTTATTAGGGTCATTCTGCTGGATTATTCAATCTGGGAAATACCTGCTACATGAACTCCACAGTCCAATGCTTGCATTCGGTTCCTGAGCTCAAATCTGCATTAATTGAGTGAGATTTCTTATTTCTTTTTGTGTTAGTAATATTGAATTGTATTTTAATCCATTGAATGTTTTTGAACACTGATTTATGTCTCAGGTATCCTCAATCTGGAAGAAGCAATGATTTAGATCAGTCTTCTCATCTTTTGACTGTTGCAACAAGAGACTTGTTTAGCGAGCTTGATAAAAATGTTAAGCCAGTTGCACCAATGCAGTTCTGGATGGTACTGTTTTTTCTCAATAACTCTTAGAATTTTTATTTTTGTTACAATACAATAAATATGTAATTAACATTATGTAATGAAGTTATATATGTTATAATTTCATAGGTATTGCGGAAAAAATATCCTCAGTTTGGCCAGCTGCATAATGGGTCCTTTATGCAACAGGTTTCTTTTATTTTCATTCATTATTTCTATCACATTCACTACTCAAAATTTTTTATTTTATATATTTGACACGAGTTTTGATTACATCAGGATGCTGAAGAATGCTGGACACAGATTTTGTATACTCTATCCCAGGCCCTTAGAAGACCAAGTTCCAGGTGTTTTGAGTCATTTTTATTCATTATTTTCTGCAGATAATAATAAACTTCATAGTTCAAATAATTTAGAAAGTTAATAACCTTTATCTTAATGGAATTGCAGTGAGAATCTTGATACAGTGAAGGAACTTTTTGGAATTGACCTAGTAAGCAGGTATCTTTTGGGTCCATTTTATATTAAAATTTTCTCTCATGATTTTTGTAAACAAGTTTCTACCATAATTACATATTTGTTTTGTTGCCTATGTAGGGTGCATTGTGCAGAAAGTGGTGAAGAAAGTTCAGAGACAGAATCAGTTTATTCTCTTAAATGTCACATATCACATGAGGTGAATCATTTGCACGAGGGCCTGAAACATGTAAGTTCTATTTTATATAAGTGTTAGGGGCTCGTTTCATGATCATCAAAACCTAAGGGGTGTGAAGT